GTGCGCGATATATTTGATCGTGAAAATGAAGCGCATGAAAAACGTGATTTATGTAGTGTAATAAAATTAATTAAACGAACATATTCTCCATTAATTTAATTAAAATAAATGAGTTTTTCAGTGCATTATAACATATAAATTATTCGATTAAATTTCTCCTCCCTCCGGCGTCGCGCCAGTATAAACCGATACCTCCCGGTCGCCGTAAACCGAAATATGGACAGGCTAGCCACATTTCCCCGTTGCAATCTCGCGGGATGCGCGCAAACGACGCACGTGCGTCCGCCTCGTGAGCGCATTTTCATGCAAATGACAATACGACGAGAGACGACGACGACGCCGCCGGTGTTTCGCGACGGCCACTCGAGAGATCGTGATCGACATTCCTCTTACCTGTTACGCGCCAAGTTGAGCCCTCCACCTCCTGTACCTCTTCCCCTGCTGCTTCGGCTTCTTCCCGATGCTTCCGTTGCGTCGGTAGCAGCTACAGGACGCCGTTCGACGTATCGGTCACGTGCGTCGTACCCAGAGAGTCGCTTTCGCAGGGGTGGCTCTGCAACAATATCGCCGGGGTAAACATCGATACCTGCCCCATTGTCGTACCGCGCACACAATCGCGGACCGCGCGTGCCCGCGAAGCAAGCGTGCGCGCCCGTCCGCTCTCGTCGCGCGATACCTGCTGCACTCTCTCCAGTATCTCGACGTATCTCTTTCGCCCGCTTTATGCGACGCGATAACGGCCGCGAGACTCTCAGTGGTGGCCAACCCGTGTTCCCCGTAACTTCCAAATCGGCGACCGGTAGTCGGCCGCAATCCCGATCAGCGATCCTATTTCGATTAGCCTTATCGTTACATGCGACTCGAACTTCTTTCGTTTCTCCGCGGGGTTGGGGATAAAAATGCGCGTCTCTTTACGTACGTCTTCTGAACGAACGGCACGGCCGTTTACGTATAATATTCGTTTATGTATAGACGCGAAATATATACTGCTTGCGCGTTACGAGTTAACTTCGTAGGAGGCACTTTAAAGTAACGCAGCTACTTCGCCCTCTTTTTCTGCGCTTACGGTTTCGCGAAATTTCAGGAAGTTAAAAATAAATTCAGCAGTTAAGATCTCGCGAGAGTGGAGGCAGCTTCATTCTTATAAAATATTTAGTCCGGTAATATTTCTGCTCCATTGAGATAACGCGTGTCAAATTTAAACTCAAAGAGATCCTAACTTACATTAACACAATGAACATAGTTCATTGAATTTGTCTTTCTTGTCCTCTCTCGCTTTTCTCCTCTGCAAATATGAGGAAACATAGCAGACGATTTTATATTTTTGCGTGTGAGTAAAGGAAGTAAATTCTCAATTCTTTGACGGTTATGTGGACAAGTTATCAAAAGAATAAAGAAGTGATCTTTCCATACGACACGTACGAAATAAACCGTTGGAGAAAGCGATATAAAGTCAGATACGCGGGTTAAAGCGGATAGTCAGGCATTTTCATGAGAGAATAAAAGCTGAATAAAATTGGGCAGCTAATGCGTGACTGTTTATATACAAGACGCTGTGCACTTTTATTAACGCACAGCGGTAATTTTCAGTAATATACTAGCTGAATTATCTGTACTATATACGATTTTGTTGTACGTAATTTTGTAAAACTGTATTTGAAAAGTGTTTTAGATATATAAATAAGTTACGTGATTTTAAAGCGCCCTTTACGATCATAACATTTTGTTAGTTTAATGTTTACCAGTGAAAATGTTTCGAGCAGAATCTGTCCTCACCACATTCCCTTCCCCGATTTAGTTAAGAATATAATAGAAAGTTAAATAAAACATAACAATTAATTATTACTTCAAAAGTATTACTAACGATATAGCTACGGAAGAACACGCTGCATCTATTGTTACAACTTCAAGCGGATTCGTTCGGTTGTTTTCAATGAATACCGAGCAAACAGAAAAACAAATACATTCTAAACCGGATATATACGAACACAGACTCAATTTTATTATATATGTAAAACTGACTGCAAAAATAAGTAATTACTTTTTTTACCCAATTCCACTACACATTTCTCTGTTTATTACATAAAATATAACTTATATTTTTGCTATATATTCTTGAAATAAAATGCTCTCTAAGTATAAATTGGATAAATCAAAATATATCATAGTCAAAGTTTTAAAGCTCATTTAATTCTTATCGAAATAATTTAATCTCATTTGTACGTGAAATTTAATTGAGACTCAATGATTAATTATTCGTCGCTTGGTTCGTTCGATCGCGATGCCGTATTTTACAACGATGCTCGGGAACGTAATAATCGGATCGTGACTATTTCATGCATCATCGCGATTATCTTTGAGCCTTACGACGTTAACCGAGCGATGTACCGTGCATCCCGTCATAACTGGACGGATACGCGAAAGACACATAACCAGCTAGATTCTGGAGTCCAAGAGGCTACACATAAGCGCTCAGATAATGTCGTGTGAATTATTGTATTTACTGAAAGATTTAATCGGATCCTAAAGTAAGGACTGCGTAACAATCTCTACTCAGGCTACATTGTTGTCCGAGCAACTGCGAATTTAACTTGAAAACGACATGTAATGCGTCATGACATACACATATTGAAACAGAAAGATATTGCATGATACTTTTCTCCTATTAATAAAATGCATAGTGAAGATCAGGGACAAAAGTAACGCGGGATGAATGTATATGAAACATGATTACTAAAAACCTTGTTATTCCCGTTTGTAAATCTGTCTGATACTATATAACGTCTTTTGAACGTCTTTTCCATTCATTCATATATATATATATTTTTTTTCTTTTGATAAAAATATTCTTATTATTATATAGATATCGATTCTAATATGCATAATGTTACTTTTGTTTCTGATTTCCCCTTATAATTATTATATAATGAATAGATATATAATGAATATATATATCGTAAAACAAAGATATAGTATATCATAGTAATTCCTTATTGAGATTTATTAACTTTTCCTTCAACAAGTGGACAACGTACAATGCAGCAGGTCTGAAATACAAACAAAGGGTAATTAACACAACTTGTCTATAAATTTTAACGTACAAGATATGTCACCTGTAACATTCAGCAAAATTAACATATCCGTAATATACTAATCGACGCTGAAATATAAAATGTGTTATTTTAACATTCACAAGTGTTATTTTCACACTAACATACGTTGAATATTGACTCAACACAAAATATATACGAGATAACATAAACACAACTTTTGTTGAATTAATACACGGGTGTGTTAAAAATTTAACATAAAATTTTCAACAAGGATCGATTTTAACAAAATGTTTCACTGCGTAGTCGCGCTTCTCAAAATATCAATGTGCCTGACCTTCGGTCGACATTCCTGACTACCTGTTCCGTGCTGTGTTGACTTCTGGAATGTTTAGACGATGTTAATCTATGACGAACGCACGAGACCTATTTTCGACATATCTAATGATAATTCGTGGGCGGTGACTCCGGTGACTCCGAGACGTAAGAGTAGCGTCGTAATTTAACTGCCACGACATGACGATCGCGCGACACTTTGTTCCATATTTCCGACAGCCCGTTTCACACGATATTAGCTTTTGACGACTCTTTTGTCATCACGAACATACGACACATACTTTCGGCACTCCTGGTTACGACAATACGCGCACGAGACTCGTTTCCGGCGAGCCGCAATCGTGAGAAATACGGAGCGTCTCTCTGAGCCGAAATGACGCCGAGCGGTACGTGTCTAAATTGATTATGCTAATGGCGTTGCATATTATGATTTTCGAAATATTAATATAGGCGACACTTCACGCGGATATTACTTACCGGATATTGCGTGAGGTGTGTACTTGAGAGATTTCTTGACGATATTTTGTTACGACGAACGCAGGAATTTTACTTTCGACACGCTTGACGACGATAATTCGCGATATAATTTAACCGTCACGACACGACGACCGCGCGACACTTTGCTCGACATTCTCAACGGCTCGTTTCACGTGATTTCGCTTTCGACGACTCTTTCCCATCATCACGAACGCACGATATTCACTTTCGCTATTCCCGACGACGATAATTTGCGCCCGAGAGTCGCTTACGGTGAGCTAAAATGTTGAGAAATACGGAGCGTCTTCTCGAGCCGAAATGACGCCGAGCGGTCCGTGCTAAACTGATTACGTCTAATGGCGTCGGTGCATATTTCGATTCTCGAAGTATAATATACGCGACACTTCACGCAATATGGCCGATTGTCCGTCCAATTGTCCGTACTGTAGTAGTTTATCTGATTCGGATTAAGTAAATGCATTATTTGAGTGCAGCACTTTTCTTCTTTCGGTGTGTAACATTCAAATAATATTTACTTAATCCAAATAAAATAAACTCCCTAGCAAATGTTTACTTGAACGCAGCAATATTTTTTCAGTCTACGAAGATGAAGGGAAATTTACTCTTGAATTTAGCGAAGTAGCGTCGAGACTCGAGAATTTCAGTTACGAGCAGCAGTTGTTTCATTCCTCAAAAAGTCGTGCGCTTATTGGTTAAGGTCGCGTCATCTTATCCCCTCTTTTAACTATCGTCCGGTTACACCGTCCGGATGGTTCGTAGGATTAAGCAGCGAATCGGTAAATCATCAAGTTGATATTGCATCGTAACAGGCTAATGGTACAAATATCAGCGGTCACGCGACTCTCTCGTGAGGCCGTCGGTCTTTAATATCTCGTTGTTGCGCGTAGGCGCGCGCGTATGTCGCCCGTAGTGTGCGTAGCGCGTATGTAAGGTTATGAACGAAAGTAGGTGTACATACGTAGGTAGATCGGCACACACGGTGTGTATCTCGCTATGCCGCTCCGGTGGACGAGCTGGAGAAGAAAGGGGGGGCACGGCTGCGGTGCGTTCGGGCGATCTCGGCTGGCGGCCGAAGTCTCACGAAGCGCTCCGAAAGTAAAGCCCGCGTCAGACGGTCTTCGCGCGCCGAGCTCTCCGGTCGCTCTTGACAAACTTCACACGGTGTGCCCGTAAAATCGACGAGATCTTGGCTTCGATTTCGCATCCGAATCCGAACATTTACCGGCGTTTAGATCGCGCGCGATCCCGCGGACGGACGTCCGCCGAACGAGCTTACTCACTCTCCGATTTCGCCGAGTTCTGGTGTCGTTTTCCCTCCGCGGCCGCGAAACGCCTCTTCTGCCGAGTTCGCGATCGGCGTCGGTCGGAGTTATCGCGAGTGTTTTTTTGTGTGATGTGCACGGAAGAAGCTACCAACCGCCGTAAGATGATGCTGACGACGACGACCACCGTCGCCTGGGCCTGTTTCCTCGCCGTGCTGTGCGCGACGACGGTTAAAGGTGCGTGCGACAGTTGCATAATTACGCCATGATGAAATCCCGTTATAACGAGTAGTCGTGGCGGAGTAATTTTCGTACGAGTCGACGACGCGTCATTCGTAATTCGAACGTCGCGCGGACGATGCCCGTACGAGCCTCCTCCTGCCAGTGCGTTATACCGTTTGTTCGATACACGACGGGACACAAGCAACCGCGCAATTCGCAGGGATAACGCGATTTCACCGTGGTTTTATATATCCGCCCTGTACACAACCCTACACGCCCGTTTGAATTCGCAGCAAACGGCGCGCCAATAAAACGGTCGCCGCTTTATCCCGCGTTCTCTCAATCGCCGTACGGGAATACGCCGTCGAAATAGTGCCGTCACGATGGTCTGTAATGTAACTTTCCGGATCTCTTCTCGACTTGATTTCGCGGGAACTCCGTTCGGGCGGCCGTAACTTTTCATCTCCTTCGCATCCCGGCGCATCTCGCGAAGCGGAGGAAGATTCGCGGGGAGTAGGAAACTCGTGGGAAATGCTTCGAGCCTGAGTGCTCGCGCTGAAGTTTCGCGTCGGGAGAAGCGGCTTGACGGTTCCCTCATCCAGCGTGTGTACGTGCGCTCTATGCGCGTAACGACACGTACGAAATGAATATAAACGCTGGCGGGAAATGCGAGTGCACACACTCGACGCCGTCGTCGGGATCGTCCGTCCGGGTGCCGACGCTCTCTCGTCGCTCTCGGCGGCGGAAGCCAAAGGGTCCGAGGATGAGATCCGACGTTCTCCTCCCGATTCTGGCGGGAGCGATTTTCTAGGCGCGGCAAACCAGTGACGCGACGTAAACGAACGCGACGGTCGCGACCGAAGTATTCCGCGCGGACGATTAATAGAACGGACGGCGCGCGCGAATATGACGCCTCTAATCGTAAATCCGGCGATCAACGGCGCGATGTTAATGTTATGTAAAATTCATCAGGCGATTCGCGGCGCGTTATGCGTGTGCAACGCGCGCAAAAGCACAGGCGCGATATAAATATAATGTGCACAATTGGACGTGCGCTAATGTTGTGCGTTGCCCACTCGGCCGTTTCTGCGAACTGCATTCGTCTCTCCGATATGTTCAAGGAACGCGTCTTCTCGTTTACACGGTTATTAGTGCGCGCTCAATCACTCTGTTTTGCGGGTGCGCGCAATCGGAAGAATCGGTGAATCGCGAGACTTCTCTCTCTCTCTCTCTCTCTCTCTGTGAATGCGAGCGCACCGCACAGCATCGATGCGTCCGACTGTGCGAGATTCAAATAGTCGTGCGATGTGAATTTAACACGTGCAAACCTGAAAAGACGTTTTTATGACGTTTGTATAAATTTGGAAGGCAACGATGCGCACGTACTTCCTGCGCCGTTTCGTAACAGACCGCTTCTTTGTGGCCATATAGTAGATTAGAACTAATCGATCATCGAGCCAGATAATGAAACATAGTACGAGTCCTGATTGTGTGCGCTCGTGCTTGTCTGCAATTTACGCAGCGTGATGCGTTCTGTGATACATTCGTGTTCGGAGTTACGACAATACAGTTGCGAAATTATAGCAAAATCTATTACGATTATGGAAAATTACGGGACACGGACAAATGTGTAATTAAACGTACAAACGAGATTAATGTAAATTTCCGTAATATCTGTAAATTATTTAATAATTTCAAAGTTCTTACTGTACAAAATATTTTTGGAATATTTACACTTCATGAAGGTCATGTCCTCAGTTTGCACACATGTGAATGCGTGCTATTGTGATCAAGAGATACACTTTATTTCTATTTGTCGCAATGAACATTTCATTTTTCAATGCAAATCGATTTAAAAATTTTGTGGAATTGCATAGAGCAATTGCACTACGCCCCGTTCATAAATATAATTTTTCTCTGTTGTAAAATCTCGTAAAATCGATTTTCCGGAGGAACTTCATTATCAGACTTGCTTTGGGGGAAGGATCGAATATTCCATCAGCGCGTTAAGAGTTATTAATAACTGATAGGTTATCGTGAGATTATATTCTAAGCAAAAGCATATCGTATTTCCAACCCCAGACGAATATAAGATTGTGAAATTTGGAAGTATAGAGAGGATATCGTCGCGTAATCCTTTTATTTTCGAGAAATTTGAGATAGTTCGTTAATTAACTACTTCTCGCGATATCGTGATAATATATGTCTATACTTGTAAACCGAAAATTCAACTGCGACATAAATCGTGACGTGTCTATGTTTATGAACACAAATATCATATTGGATGTCTCATCGGTTTTGACAGAACACTTGAAATCAACTATAAGTAAACAATCACAGAATCAAGAAATCTATAAATAGTAATACCATAAATAGTATCGTACAAAAATATGTTCTTTTGCTATGCTTTGAAATTGCTAACTATATGATTCTCTTGACTATGTGCGACATCTCAAGATTTGTTGAAAGTAGATACATATATATACATATATATATATATATATATATATATATATGTATATATATATATCATTCGTATAGGGTTCGAAATATGATATGCTCTTGCTTGGAATATAATCCCCCGATAACCTATCAATTATTAATGACTCTTAACGCGCTGACATATGTATATAAAACCTGACGACATAGAATATATTGCGACATTAATTTGCAAGCATTCTGTAATAATATGAAAATATTTGCGATATGGAAAAATGTTAATGTAGTAGAGACGGATTTATCGATTAATTTTTTTTACTCGTATCCGTAAAATATTTAATATTGGCACGGAGTTATAAATTTTAGTTTTTAATTAGTTAAGAATTACGTATCTGAAAAATTCGTCTGTTTGATTTTATAACGCGGTAAATGATATTTCATGAACAGTTATTATATATTAGATCATTATTCATCATAGAAATCACGGGGGGTAAATGGAATCAATAAACACGGTTGATTTACAATTGGATACAGGATACATTATAATTTGCTAAATTTGCGTATATGGGTTACTTACTTTGTTTATGAATGGTAAATTATATTTTTTATACAATATGTTTTATTTCACAAACATATTGCGTTATGTCAGTTGAATGTTAATGGCGGGTTTTTTTTTAATTGCTTTGTAGCCAATTTTATTGCTGGCGAAAAAAAATTGAACGAAATTTAAAAACTGCGGAAAATGATAACTTTCAATTGCATTTATGTCGAGGAAGACCCGATTGCAAATTTATGCTAAAAACTTATTATTCAAATATCTATTACCTTTTGGATTCTACGTCGTGGAGAAATTCGTGGTTTTGAGCACTCCGTGTTATTAAAATATTGTGACGTTGAAATTATTTCCTCATTAATTGACCATGAAATAATAGCGATCGAGGGCGACGGCCAATCATCCGCAGGGAAGCATCAACCGGACGATGAATTAATACTACGATATAATTGAAGAAAATTTCTCGTTACGCGTGAATAATTTGTCGCAACCGACTAAGGTTTTGACCCGAGACGTTGATTATTTTGTAATTATTGTGACGGTCTTATTTAAGCGTCAAGATTCATCGTAGTGTTCTTTGCGATGCAAAATTAATCCTTTCATCTGACAATTATTTTTCATTATTTCCTATAAAAACTGAACGAAATTAATATATTTTGCTTGATTATTTGTTAATATTGCTATAATTTAACGTATATCGTCGACAAACATGTGAGAAATATGAAAGACATAACAATTTTTGACTCTATCAAATATTATTTCGTCTCAGCTCTCTTACATGCATAAAGAGATCCGTAAGAACAAACATGAAACGTACGAGATTAATAAAAATTATAAATATTTAAATAACACAAATGGAGTAATTTCATTCTATCTGTTCTATTTGAGGTAACGGACAGAGCGTGTTCACAAATTTTCAAGAATCAATTTGCGAGAATATGTGAACGGTCGATATAAAATTAAACGCGTTATAATAATATAATTAGCATGAAAGGAAATCGTTCAGATTTAGCCTTCATATTTATGAAATTCATTTTACTACGATAGCTATATCCGTATTATGATTCAAAATATCAATTATCGTTTCGAACACTTTTCTCCTGCCTAATTATTCTCATGTAGAAGTTGTTTTTTTACTCTCGATTAATAGAAAATCAGATCGACTGAGAAATCAAGCATATGCAAATTTGAAGTGGACAGAATATTCTCACGATATGGACGCGAGGTTACTTTCGGATCGAGCTGACGATAAATACCGCAATGGACCGCAACATTTCGTTTTATAGTTGATAAATTCGGCACATCCCCGATAATATCCTATCCGGTCGTTATATCATCCGGATTCGATTATCATACAAAACGGTATATCCTCGCAGCTTCCCCTCATCTTTCTCTTCCCCCTTCAGTTAGTTGTATTATTTTTCGTCCGTCATATAAAGTGACGCGAAATAGTCCTATTGTCGTGGAACAAGTATAAAACGAGTCGAATAACGGCCATTTATCGATCTGGGTTATGTAAATAACGGCCGATACTAGAGTTACCCTATTTGCTACCGTTTCGACGTGATTCGAGAAGAACCGCGTTTATATCCGGATATAAATTTTATGCAGATCGCAGTATCGTTTACCCGATATTGCGCAGTAGCCGGTGTCTGATTCAAATCAGCTACCGCTTCAGCTCATATGTGAGTATATAAACACCGAGGAATTTATCAAACACCGAGGAAATTATCGTTCTTGATAAACTTTTAAATATTGCACGCTGCGTTCGTGTGTACTGTATTAATGTCGAGCGAACTAGAGCCTCCGATGGGTTAATCTGCTTTGCAGTGTTTGCCTTTGTCGATCCGGCTATTAAAATGATATCGGATGCAAGCAGTATTCGGATTTGATCGAAACAAAAACCTGTTAATAACAGCATTCTCGAACGGTAACGTGCATTCGCAGTATTATCCGACTGATCGGCCGACCGTCTGTCCGTCTTCGAATGAATGTGTCGCGACGCGATCGATGCTCGCGGTGT